ATACACATACATAAATAATATATATAAATAGTGTGTGGCGGCGGGGGTGGGGGGGGGGGGGTTTGGGTGGGTGTGTATACATATCCATATATATATGTGTGTGTGTGTGTGTGTGTGTGTGTGTGTGTGTTCTTTACCGATACCTTTACCGATACAACAGTCAAGTATCAGTTTTTACCGAAGTATATGGCGTGTACACTTCAAAAAAATAACTTTACCGATACAACAGTCAAGTATCAGTTTTCGGTATGTAATCTACACCTATCACCTGAAATAGAATACAACGCTGACTAAAGAGAGCCAATGTTGTTAATCCTGTGAGCGTGAATTCATGGATCCATACTTCTGAATACTATAAAAAAATCGTTTCATACTTAGCCTTCTAAAATTACGGAGGTTGGGGATACATGTCCGAGTACTCTGTGTGCAGGGCCTTCCTTGACGCTCGCGTACAGAAGATCTACGGATGAACTACCGAGATCATGAAGGAGGTAATCTCAAGAGATATCGTCGCTTAAGCAACGGTAGTATATAAATGGCTACGGGGATGGCACCGCCGATTTGTTTTTAAAATAATAGTAAAATACATAATTCATCTTGTCCTTTATTTGATTTTTTTTTAAGATTTTTAAACCTTTTACTTTGTTACGGACGTTAGTCCGTTCAGCCATATTTTCTTTCTTCTCTAGAGGGTCATGACTTTGTTAAACAACTGATTTTTCAATTCAAAGTGTCGGTAGGCGCGAACGAAGCGAGCTGCTTTTTTTTTTTCAATTATTTATGTCGGTAGGCGCCAGGCGCTGCTTTTTATTTTTCAATCCTGATTATTTTTAAATGTAAATAACTAAAATATTTTGGTTGTCTTTATATTTTCTGGGTACGTTTCCGCCGTTATTTTTTAGAAAACAAAATGCTCTGAGCCTCCGCCATACAAGTGATATCAGCAATTCATCACTCTGCCACTCATCAATTTTTTATACTAAATAGCCCCCGACCCCCCCCCCCCCTCCAGCCCTCTCTCCCTTTTTATCTTAATGCCTTTCTGAAATTCATTTTCTCTTTGTTTTCATAATCAATGCTTTCTGCAACGTTTTAAAGTATATTTTTTAAATACATTATTGCTTCAGTGATGTTCAGTTTTAAACATTTTAAATCTTTTATTGAAATTTTCAGTTAGCTATGATATTCTTAGTACACTTTTTTAAAAATTTAACGACAAACCTAATGTTAAATTTAGACTTTAGCGGGCTATTAACAAAAGATATTTAAGTATTTCATTTCCAATCAGTCATATTTTTTAGGATGTGCTTCCCCTCAGTCATTTTTTTATTAAATTTTCAATACATATCTTTTCTTTTTTTAAATCAAAAATCTTTTACATTACAAGTACCAAAATACGCTCGCTTCGCTCGCTCCTGCTACATAATTGAAAAAGACATTACATAATCTGAAAAGCTCAATAGTCCTTTTTTTTTTATCATCATGGCGACTGGGAGTATTTCTTTTCAAACCAGTATAAATAGTTGGTAGCGTGTTTAAATACCAAGAGCAAACTGATGATTTGAAAATATTGCCTTTTGTTTTAAAATACATGCAGGAAGCATTTATGATTTTGGTTGATAATTTGAATTCGTTCGCTACTTGTGCAATTTTAAAGCTATATAATATTAAAAATTGATACTTTGAATTTGCTCGCAATTGTCATATATTAAAAAAATTGTTACTTGCGTAATATTTTTAATATATAATTTTTATTTGTCATATTTAGCGTGCTACTGCATTCAGTGTTTTTAATTAATTTAGAGGCTGGGCCAGCTAGAATTAAAAATTGCTAGTTTAAAATCAGACATTCAATTCACCAATCTATATTTTTTTAAATTTAATAGCTTGAAATTGTTTAAATTTATATCCTAGTTGTCATATTTTAGCCTGCTAAGAGGGCTAGGTCAGCTAGTATTAAAAAAAATCAGACTTTCAATTCACCCACTATAGCATTGAATTTAAAATTGCTCTCCTCGCTCGCTCCTTGTGTAATTTTTTATAGATTTTTCATAGTCTATTTTTAACACAAATTCTAAATAAATATGTAGTACAATATGTACATATATTCTGTTCTCTTTCTATTTAAAAACGCAAAAGAACATTCAATAAGCTAAATATTCCATCGCTACGTGTTAAATTTTTATTTTATAGTCGGTATATTCGCTCGTAATGACACAATATAAATATATGTAAGTTGTCGTAGAGGTTGGTACATTCAACTATTTTAAACCCGAGGTGGAAACGCTTTGAAACTTGTTTTCTAAAAAATAGCAAAGACAACCTAAACAAACACTCTTTTTGACAAAATAGTGTTTTAGTTTTTAAAATACAATACTTTTAAAAGCAAGGATTAAAAAAGTCTGTTAAGATATTGAACTATTTATTCAGGCCGGTTTTGCTAACTTTAGAAAATATAGAGAAATTACAGCCCATAAAAATGTAGAGGTATATTTTGGTATATTTCTTGAGAAATTTTGGAACTGTATATTTCCACACAATTTCAAAATATGCTGCCAGTTGTATTTGAAATATTGTCGAATATTCGCATACATACTTTTTTTTTAAATAAATATAAACTGTTGTTTCGGTAAAGATCTTTTTTGCCCGGAGTACATGCTCAATAGTTCATTACTTGGGCCAAAGTTGCCTTACGTGGGCCCATAAATATCGACCCTACCTTTGCAAATGGTCCGGATGCGGTTTTGGACACGAGCTCGGGCGTTATTAATTTTACAGTGACGGGTGTCGTATAGACAAAGTCGTAGGACATAGGTTTTGACTCAAAAAAAATTTCAAAAACAAAATACAAGCCACTATTGACTACATTCATTATTTACATATTTAACATTTACATATGCACCCCTCTTGGACTCGATTATTTATTTACTGTTTTTTTAATTTTCAGAAGGGGCCATGCTTTTTTTTAGGAGACATTATACATTTGACAAAATACATACATAAATACACACAATAATAAATAGACTCGAGAGAGTCGAGACTCGCAATATGGTAAAAATCAAATAAATAAATAAATAAAGTTATCCGAAGTTTTGGTGTGCACTGCGCGTCTGTGCCTGCCTCCTTGCCTGCTTTTCGCCTTGTCCTCCACCTATATTGTATCACAACAATAAATAACCCATACGTATCCAGGTGCCGGTCTTTCCCGAAGTTAGTAAAGTTAGTGAAGTTATTATGTATCCGTATCAACAGCAACAACCCCCTGGACCACCAGGGCAGCCAGGGCAGCCAGGGCAACCAGGCGCGGCTGGATTTAACCCTCAGCACTCTGTAGGCTCAATGGGAACACCACAGCGCCCAAACGCTGTACAACAGGGCCAAGGAGGTGGTTTTCAGGCACCTAGTGCGCAATCGGGTATGCCTCCATCACAACAACAACAACCACAGAATCCCATGGCAGTCCCACATCACCCCACCGGACCGAGTGCACACTTACAAGCAGCCACGCAACACGTAGGAGGCTTCCAGTCGCAGCCGACCAGTGCATCTGGGCTCAATCCGAACTTCTCATCTCAGCAACAGCCACAGCAACAAATACAGCAAAACAATGCATTCCAGTCAGCTATACATACCCCACAGGCGCCCAGTACAACCCAGCCACCGCCTGGGGGTAACCCTGGCAACGGAGGCGGCTTGGGTAGTCCCTCAGGGCCTCCGAGTGCGAATATGCCGCATGCAGCCTCCAATCCAGCAGTGAACAGGCTACCACCTACTTCCTCCCCAGCAGCACCCCCTACCGTAAGCTCACCTGGCAGCCATATGCAGAAGTCAGCGTCAACACATTCTATGGGCTCACTATCCGCGGTATGACTGGTTTGCGGCTTGTATATATGTGGACGCTAGTATTAGATGTGTGTGTGTGTTTGTATATATGCATGTATATATATATGTGTGTGTGTGTGTGTGTGTATGTATGTATGTATATATGTATATTTTTATATCATTATATTGTTGTATTATATTATTATCGTAGTATATTTTTATGTCAATATATTATTATAATATCTATATGAATATTATCGTATATATATATATAAACTACATATATATATATATATATAAACTACATATATATATATGTGTGTGTGTGTGTGTGTGAGTGTGAGTGCGTACATGCGTATGTATGTATGTATGTATGTGTGTATCACGTATATATATACATAAAT